TTCCTTAGTGCATACTTATCGCACATGCCCAGTTCTTAGACACATTTGTATATGTACACATATGTTTCGTCTATGTGTGGACATCTATATTTAATGGACTTTACGCCACATCTCTAATTCGCATTGGGCACGTATACAAGTTTATATTCTTCTTCTTTCTGGGCTCTATATCTGCCTTTGTAGCTCGTTTTCGTAGTGCTAAAGCTCAGAGTGTTTGGGTTCATTTAAGTTTTTAGTCATCGTATGTTGCGTAGTTTGTAAGTTTCCTCTTTTTGTCTTTTATTTTGGTTTGTTTTGCTTTGATTCGTATTGACGAGATATTTTTAACGTGATGTTAGTAGTTCGCTCGGTAGGTAGGCTTGATTGTATTAGTTTTTGTTTTTCGATTTAGCATACTTGTTTTTTCTCTTTTTTTGTTGTTATGATCAGAATTTTATCAGTCTGATAGCCAGATAGGCTTTGGGCTCTATTTATGTTTGCCTACTCTTATCTATCGAGGGGGACCGTGCTAAAGGACAACCGCCATTCAGTTTTCTGTGTGGCACGCATTTTGCACACCAACTCGATGTGGGGTTGTCTTAGATAATACATAGATGTATGTAGATTGTGGGTCAACAAAAATGTACAGTATTTCCATGTGGGGAAGTGTGCTGAGTGTATTACGATTAATCGATATATATACAAATAGATTTTTGATAATACCCCAGGGGGAATATGAATTTGTGACGAAACGAATTTGAGATAAGAATATAATTACAAACTTACGTCGATTGATAGGTACACATTCACAGCGTTTCTGGTATTTATGGGTGAGATAATTTTAGAAATATTCGCTCGTAGTTAAACTATTTTAATCGGCCCATATGTATAATGAATTTTGTTTATTATCAACGTATGCATATAAGTTTTCAATTGTAGGTATCTTAGATAATGCTCATTAACAAAGGCGATTTTGACGTTACTGAGACATAGAAACTAAAATATATGCTAATGTATACCCTCGAATATAAGTATTTCCTAAAGCGTGGAAATTGGAAAATGCGTTTACTGATATTGCAGAAACTGAATGCTTCTTCACGTGGAAAAAGGCATGACAGGTATATTCACGCGCTTTAGGGACTTGCAAAATGGGGAAAACTGTATGCTCTACAGTTTTAAAGCTAGAAATTTAAAATTAAACCTCCTTTATCACTTTACAAAATTTTCGTCCCAATAACCGTGCGGACTACATATAAAGAGTTTAATAAATTTTTTGCAGTGTATTTGAGCTACGTCATCAACATGGTCATTCTATTTATAGGTCATGTCAGACTTTCCGCTATATTAAGATTTTAATTTTTATGAACTTATATTTATTTTTATTTTATTTTGAATATACATATATATCTTTTATTTATTAGAGTCTAATGATTTTTTTAGATAATACATTTTGCGGTTATCACTTTTATTCATCAAACAATTTTTGGTTTAGGCCAAAGCCCTCTAAAAACAAAAGTAAATTATGAAATAAGTTAACATTTATATATTTCCGTCATTTATAACCCTAAATATCTGATTTTTTAATTACTTAAATATATTATATTCAAATTAGATATAATGTAAAAAATAAAGAAATAATAAAATATTATACATATAATACAATATTTATTTATTACCAATATATTTATCATTTGTTAATTGAAAGATATTTTTATAGGTGTTTGCGTTTAGACAGAAAAGAAAATCATGATTTTGCCTTTTACCATAAAAAATACTTTATATTTATACACAATTAAATCAATGGGGGAATTCCTGTCATAAATAACCTTAGGGAACTTTAATTTTAAGGTTCTTTATATTTTACTTCGTCAAAAAAGTTGTTAGGGGTGTTCCCCTTTATAAAAAGTAACAAAAACACACACTCATCTATTTTGGTAAACAAAAGTGTATTCTGACTTTTAAGGTATTGTAACTATCATACTAGGGGCATTCAGCTCTTAAAACAAAAAAAACTCTCATAACAGGAAGCTTATGCTTTTGGTTAACTCATCTAAGAATGCGGCGGTGCTCATAGTGGTGCTTGGCGGTGCTTGGCATTTCGAGTGGTTTCAACTGCCTTACTCTCTTAACTTGTTATGCAATTTTGTTTTGTGTACAACGCGCAAAACAATAACAAGCAAATGCAATTGTTGACTATTTGCTACAGTGAATCATCGATAAAAACGACAGATCGAGTATCGGCAGCGCTATTGATTAGTTAAACATTGTTTATTATGTTCGAGCTGCATTGATATTGATGTTGATATTGATATTGACGTGTGTCGCTTAATCATAGTTATCACAAATGCCAATTCGCCGTCAATAGTTGGATATTTATATTGATTAACAGCTTTTTCGCTTGCGCTCTTTCTCTTTGTTGTTCAATCGAATAGAAATAGAATAGTAAGCTGAAAAAATTACTCAGATTTTATTTTGAGATTGGCGCCCAGGCGGGTTATGGGGCAAGCTATTTATAGCTCACTCACAATCTGTCCATTTCGATGCCTTATATTATTTTTAAACAAATTGTGCATACTCTTGTTGTAAACTATACATATTTAGCTCGTTTTAATTCCAAACAAATACATATATATATTTATTTTGTTTTCATTTTAGCCAAAAACTTACATCTCCCAAATGGAATCATTTTAAGGGCGTTCGTTTGCGTTGGAAGGATAAAATACGACTTAACAATGTCATCTGGCGTTGTTGGCATATGCAATGTGAGTATAATTCAAACTATATACAAATAGATATATATATATATAATATATATACATATTTTTTTCTTAAATTAAATAATAAATTAAATTGAAATTATTAAGTTTTATATTACATTATTATCTATATTTTATTACGGATTCAGAGAGAGCTCACATAAATAAAATTAGCACAAGAATGAAGTATTATTAGTAAAATTTCATAAAATTATATATGATATAATTTATCAGGTAGCATATCAATCAAAACAAATCTATTAAAAAATAATTTTGTTGTATAAAAAGCTTAAAGTTTACACGTTAATTTCCTGCCACAAATTTATGACAATACTACAGCAAAACAAAATTGTAAAAAATTTATTTTGATTGGGATAAGATAATAGGTTATTTGTACATTTGATATAGTTGCTAGGTTACGAAATTTTAAGACCGGAAACGCCAAAATAACAAAATGAATAGTTAAATTCGAATAATTATATTTTCACAAATCACAAATCATTTTAGAGCTAAACAACAATTTCAATTAAATACTTTTTCACTCTTGAGTATTTCAAATATAAGTAAGATCCGTGATTGGTAAATATTACAAGTCATTGATGAAATGAAAATTAAAAATTATTTGATGACTTTTTCCTTGAGCGCCAAAGTGCCCCACGTGTTGTACGAATTACAGATTATACAAAAACCAAACAAAACGCAAATGCTCAAGCCAAAAGCAATATCAGTGCCAACAACAACAGCAAGAACAACAAAAAAAGCTAAAAGCTAACGTATAAAAAGCTTTCCTGATTAGCAGATGAGTCGCATTTGTTGTTAGCTTTTCAACAGGTTTCTAATTTTTAGTTATGTGTCTAACTTTTTGACAGTCGCTGTTCAGTCTGTGGAGCAAGTTGTAGCTGTGGTTGTAGCAGACACACTTTGTACCCTACACTTGGTTTCATTGTCAGGCGTCTGGGCAATGCGTCGTGCTTCTCTTACGCTTATCAGCTTCAAGTGGCGCTTATCAGAGATGTCTGTCTGGGTTACTTAGTGAAATAGGTTTTAAATAAGCACCTTCTGTGCAACTCAAACATCTGATGCCAGCAAAAGTTCGGGGAAAAAATCATATGAGCAAGCCCCATTAAACTTATCTCAGGCTATATTTGACAATGTGGTAATGCTTCTAATTTAAATTTTTTTTTATTTTATTATTATAGTATATAATTTATAAAATTCTTAAAAAATATAGCAAATTCCAGCTAGTTATAAAATAAATAAGTACACAAATAAATGCTTAGACAGCTAGCATAAAAATTGTAAATTATGTTAAGCCAGAGCTGTCACCGTTTGTGATTACTTTCGACTGTTTGACAACATGCAATTTAAGTTAAACAGTTACTTTTTAATTAATTAATTAATTTAAAAAGGGCCACAACTATGAAATACATTTAACAAACATTGAAATTATATGTTTCCTTTAAATATTAAATTTATTTTAATTTATAAAAATTTTAAATTAAATTAATTTACTATACAAAATTATATATTTAAATTTAAAGATCAGATAAGATATATAGAATATATAATATTATCGCTCATATTCAAATATGCAATATATATATTTCAAATTTGAAATATTTATTCTCGCGTTTTTTCACCTAATTATTACAAATCATACAAGTATAATATATTTTATAATTATTTGGAACTTTCCTATAAATTTCGCATTTTATGGTTCCATTCGTTACATCACGAGTGCGCGAACAGCAAGAGTGTTGCCAGATAGATAGATAGATGTGTTGTATTACAAACCCCGTCAACGTACGATTATCTCTTAAAAGTGACGACAACTGCGACAAAGGCAAATGGAAAATTTTAGGTCTATTTATAAAGTGTGCTGTACTGTGCTGTAAATCCAGCTACCTACAAATGTACATTGTACGTACTTCATCCTCTTCTTATATATTTTTAATGTTTATTCATCAGATTATAAAACCTAAAATGCCGTTATGTGCTCGCTGTCGGTTATTATCGGTCAGATAACTTAAGCAAAAATTTGGATTGTCATCTTCGTGTATTTCTGAGCAAGTTGCTGGCATTATGTTAATATTTATCAGTTAGACTAGAAAACTGAAGATGATACTTTATTTCATAAATACTAAAAATAAATTAAATACTACTAAACAAAATTATTTATAAGTTTTTTTTTTAAGATTTAATAATATGTATTTTAATTTTATTTATTTATTTTTTTTTAAATTTTTTTTTGCCCTTTTTTATTTGAATAGTTCATTTGAATAGAAAATCAATGGAAAATTTATTATAAAATTTATAATGTATGATGCACACTTTGCAAAAAAAAAAAGTAAATAGAACGTTAAAGTTAAAGTTCAGACAAGGCCCTTTTGAGTTGCGTAGAAACCGTAACGCCGTTTAACTACATAGTATTTCAAAAAGTACAAGCTAAAGCAATTCATTGTGATTGTGAAATGTATATAGATTTCAATATACCTTACCTTTCAGAATCGTACTCCAAAGCTTATATGCTTAGTAAATATCGTTGGGTGTTTACAACATAATGAATTGTCATACCGTGATTTCCATACGTCTGAGGTTCATTGTTATTGTTGAGTTGCCAACACGTTTTTAGAAACCGCTGAAAGCCGCTTTTGGCATCTCTCTGGAGCTATCTGTAGAAATAACGCTAATCTACAGGCTAAATCTTATCTCTGAACATTTGACGCGCTCTCTTTACATAGTCGTTATATTATTTTTTCATATTTCTCCTCCTTTTTTTTTGCAGTTATACAAAAGCGCAGAACACCGGTGTGTCAATTCGCATCGCCGCTGGACGTTGACATACATAGTAATCCCCAAGTAAGTATTAGAGTAACAACTGTCACTAACTAGTTAAGAGTATCAAAATGTGCGCACCGCGATAATAGTATCTATATGAACTTATTTTCCAACAGTGCGTCAAAATCGGGTAATAGTTTACAGTGATAAACAAATATAATAAAAACACTTGTGAAATATCAAACTCAACTCAAAAGTCAGATTGTGTAGAGTATTCACCTATATAAAAGATGAATGAGTTAGTCTACATCAATAGATCTTTAAAATTGCACATCTGTTCTTATACAAAATAAAAGCCTAGGCGAAAGGTGTGATAAATAAGTGTTGTACAGTGAAAAATTATATTTGTATAAGTTTTTAAGTTTACATAAGTGAAGTTGAAAACTGTTCAAGCAAGTATATGTTAACTAAAAAAGGATTCTTTATAATTTATATATATTTTATGGACATTACAAAATCTAGAAATATACAATTTGTATATATAAATATATATTCGTATAGGGAAACTTTTAGAATCGAAATTATAAATAAAAAATGTATAATATATATATTATAATTTTAATCTGTCTTAATTTACATTTGTATATCAAAGAGTACATAATATTTTGAACAGATTTCTTAGCAATATGCCTCTATAACTGTTGGGTTAAATACTCGTTGAAATTTTCTTTCATCAGCTGTTCAATTATTTAATAGGTATTCAAATCAGTGAACCATACAGCTGACATATTAACCTAGTCTGAATATGTACTGAATCAATGTTATCGCAATGTACTCAAACAACCCCCACATGGAGCATGGACAAAAATGATTATACTGCTCGATTGACCGAACATCATTTGCAGAATGCGTGATCAAGAAGTCGCGCGTCGTTAATACATCGCCAGATAATACGAGTAGCAGCCAGATATACATACATATACGTATAGTATACACATGTATATATGCACATATATATGTATGTACATAAGTAATATAGATTTCACGTTGTTCTGCTTTCAACTTGCAGCACGTGATAAGAACACGCGATTATATTTTTGGGCATCATTCACCTTTTGGGGCGTATTATTTATAGCAAACGCGATTGAATTCGAACGATTTGGGTATTTGTACATGTGAAATTTTGTTTTAAATGGAGAATATTAAACTTAATGAGTATATTTTTTTTAGATAAATACTCTTCATAATAACATCAGGATACTAGCTTCTTTATAACTATTGAAAACTTGAATAATACATTTTTTATTATTTTGTTTATTTTTTAAATCTGCCCTCGCATAAGGTTCTAGATTTAACTTTGCATGAATGATGAAATCACGCGATATAGATACAACTTAAATTGACAACGATTAAAACAGATTCTACTTACACGTGTTTACATGAACTTGACGTAACTGTCAATATACGTAGCTGAAAGATAAGATTCTATTGCTATTTGCGATAATATAAGTATGGCTTGGTTGCATCTATCTATGAGCAAGAGATGATGAAAATAGATTTTTCAGTTGGATACTAGATAATAGAAAATGTATATAAGTAAAGTGTAACAGGTAGATATTGATGGATAATAAATGGGCACCAGATAGAAGATAATAGATACGAAATAGTAGATACTAAATACATGTACTAGATACTAATATATATATAGATAATATTCAATATATAGCTTCTTATAATAATAAACAAATATAATCGAAAACCCGATTGAGGCATATACTATTTATTCTTTAATATAAATATTGTCTAATCAAATTTTATTCATAACAAGCCCTTGACAACAACTTTACTTCCTGGCTCACCCGTACTTGACTTTAAAACGACTCTTTTGTCTTTGATTCTTCGTAGATTAACACATTTTCAGCTTAGTTAGGACTACATTGTACAGCGCAAACTGTTTACATGTTGCACAAAATATGAAAGGGGCAACAAAAACCAGAGTGATGGGAGGGACTGATAGAAACTGTAAACAAGCGAACGCCCACACCTTTTACAATAACTGCTAATTAGCTTATGACAACAAATGGAGATTGCTGGAGGCAGCGCCACTCGTCTGCCACACCCATATTATAGTCGAGTGTGTATGGCACGTCAGTCAAATACTAAATCTAGATTGTATTTCGTAGTAGTATAACGTATACAGACTCTTATCTTGTCTGGGTGGCAGCGGAAAGAGATTTATCTTATCGAAAGCTGCACCGACTCTGTTTTCATTTGCCAAAGTTGACTGAATCGGTTGGGAGAGCTGAGTCGTATACCTAAATTTATTTAGTGTATGCTAAAAAAGATTCATAAATTTTAATTATCGCAAAGCCCCAGTTATTGAATATACTTTTGTTTGGGGACCACTCGAATCAGTTGTCCAAAGAGCTCGACGCTAGGCAAACCATGCGATTCGCGCTCGAGTCCAGAGAAAATGTGTAAAGTAAAGTATAAACTCGGTTTATTTAAGTAAATACAACAAAAGAGAGTATTTTATATTTCTTATATGTATGATGAAAATTATTTATGTTTTTTTTTTTTTTTTCACAGACCGTTGTGCTTGAGGGAAAATATTGGAAACGTCATGCAGCTGTTATCAAAGCCGAATATAGAAAATGGCGCAAAAATTATAAATCAAAAGCAACTGGCTGCTTGACTTATGATTCGGTAAGTCCCAAAAAAATAACATTTTATTATATATTAAGATTATTTTGGATTGCAAATTATGATTTTTGCAAAGACTTGGTTGAGTTTTCCATTTCCTTAAACTGCACCAATATGACCATATATGTAAATATGGCTGTAAAGAGCTGTGAAATATGATGGATATATAGTATAGATATAAATCAGATTGCTCTAGCTGTTATACCCACCTTAAAGAGTGTGCTCTTATCGAGTGCAAAAAATCCATAGGCTGTGAGTATAGGCTGCTGGCGTAGATTTTTGAGCAGGAATTTTTCAACCTACATAAAAAGTTGGTTGTTTATAGTAATTTGTACTAGCAAATATTGAAATATATACATTTCTAAATATATACTGACCATTTTGTCCAGTCCAGAGCCAGTTCTAGGTATTTTTGCAAGGATTTTAGCTGTTTTATTGGCCTATAAGAGAGCGGGATGGAGATAGAAATGAGATTTCCGATTGAGCTGCACTCTACTAGCTAGATCATAAATATATGATTTATGTTACTGAATACAATCTATCAATAATCTATGAATACTTTCAGTTCTATTTATATTTACTGACGTATAAAGTAGTAAAAATTTAATTGAAAGAAGAGCTAAAATAAAGCAAGCTCTGAAATTCCGTGAAGGATCCTTAAGAACTATGACATTATTGTAATTAAGTTTAACTTGAAGCATAAAAGTATATATGAAATTGAAAAATGAGATACATAGTATTACATTCCTTCTCCATTACAATTTTTACAAAAGTCTTGATCAGTCAGTTAGGTAAGATATTTTGATTAATCAACTCACTCACTTCAGTTGTGATTACATTCGACCGCAACATAAATGTTATCATAGCCAGCCATGGAATATTCCACAGACAGGAAGTTATGCAATACCTGATGTACTCGAAAGGTTGTTTTAGTTTGCCCTCCATAACGGTACTAATCAGAAATAGTGGACCCGAGGGGGCCAGAAATAGGACGAGTGGCACAATGGGCAGCACTAAGACTCCGAAGCATGCGATTAGCTCCACGGCAACAATATCCAAGAGACGGTGTCTTTTGTAGAGCAAATGCTTGCAGTTCGACACGGAGATATTCTCCACTAGCTGACTGTTAAATTTAGCCAAGCCCGCTGCCACAATATGCTGCAAGCAGACAAAGAACACCAGCAACAGGCACATGGCCGAGAAGCTATACAAATACACAACAATGTAGAGTAGAGTGGGAATTCTGGATAGGCCCGCCCGGGCATAGCCATTCAGGTAGTTCACCAAGCAGAGCACGGCCAGAGCTACGTAGACATTGAAGTTGCGCCGAAAGTAACGTTCCATGGCCGCATCGGTGCACAGGCGATGCAGGCGAAGTAGTCTCGATACCAACTCGATGTGACGCTGACGTCGCATATAGAGGCATAGATGGAGCAGACAGAGACCTATGCAAAAGCTGCGTATATTGATTAGTTCATAGTAGTTGCCCGTATCGTTGTAAATGCCCATGTAGAGCTCTTGAGGCCGCAGGCAGACGTAGATGAAGCTAGCGAGTGCCGCGATCAGCACGATCAGCATGTGGAACAGCGCATAGCGCTCACTGCCGGCCGTTGACTGTAGCAGGCATTCGCGATCATCGAACCGGGCGCACAGCATGCCCAGCCTGTACAGGACACACAAGTATAAGCGCACGTTGCGACTGCCAGACATGCTGTCACAGACTAACCAGCAGGCAGAGGTAGCTACCCAATTTACTAAGTGCACCAACAAAATATATTTGATTTAGAAATTAGATATTAGCTATTGATTAATCACTCAGGCCCCTAATTAGCCGAGTCAACAAGTTGGTTTAGTCTAAATTGTTGGGGTAGCCAAATGAACTTTGGAAATCAATTGGCTCTGGGTTTAGGAACTGACCTACATTAGTGTTGGATATGAGCCAATGCTGAATGATTGAGGACGAATCCGTCTAAAACTTGTCTATTATTCTATTCAGAGTCGGAGAGAGTTATTATATCTCTGTCGATATATAGCATTTCATTACAATCCTCAAAATATTCCGACTATGTTTTGATATTACATTATTTATCAGTTTCTAAGAGTCGGAAAAATGTTTTATAAAAACTGATCCAAAATTAGCTACCTAATGATAAACCGGCTCTAATTAAATATACAATCTCTTGAGCTCAGTTATATGCACAGATGCTGTTTAACTCTTTAGGAATATCAATTTTATTTGTCTAAAAAATTGCATATTTAAGAGTAACTGGTTTATTGCCCGAGTTTATTATATATGTATATTTGTATTGGAATTTGGTTAAGCATAAGTATGCTTTAAATTGATATGCTATTTGGCTTTAGATTAATTACGCAAACATTTTGGGTTTTAATATCAATGTCTAGACGAGAGTCAGACTCAGAGATTCCGGTTTAGGCTAAAATCTTTTTACTTTTTTTTGGAATAAATACATTTGCAGTAATATTTTGGCAGTATTTGTATTTTAAATTTCCTGCTTCGCTTCGCACTGCTTCTCTCTCGCTTCTTACCTCTTGCCGCACGATATCTTGTCGAAAGACCATTATCAGCCCGGCTGCCCAGGGTATGTTCCACAAGAGGCATGTGTACAATGCCTTGAAAATGTTGAGCAGGCCAATTTGCTTAACATCCATCTTAAAGACAATCGTGATCAAGAAAAACGGAGCGATTGGCGCCGACATTAAACACAAAGCCGTAATTAGCGCCAGAAATGGACCAAACACAGAGTTCAGCTGCTCGTGGCAAACGATGAGCATCTGATTACGTTTATATAGACGATTGATTGTAGTTGTTGCTGTTCTTGTTACTCCTGGTGTGGCTACGGCTGTTATTGCTGCCAGCAATTCGCGATTATAAAGGTGCAAAAGGGCAGCCAAGATTTGTGTAAGGCAGCTATATAGAATTATGATAAGCCCTATCAGCAGAAAGCTATAGGTATGGATGAAACTTAGCAGAATGCTGGGGACGATGCGCAGGTTGGCGAATCGAAATGCCCCCGTATAGGTAATCGCACAAATAACCGTTAGACCCACATACATGTAGTACAATTTAAGGAAACGTTTGGCATGACAATTCCTGAGATCCCTGTGATTGTGATAGAGAACAAAGGCGAGGACGGCCAATAGGCGCTGGCGACTCGCATAGAATCCGAGATATATTAGCGATATAACTATGCAAATGACACCAAAGTTAATTACGAAATACGTATTGCCCACGGCTGTGTATTGGGGCAACGTAAACGTTTCAGGCATTCGCAAAAGCTGCGCGAAGGCAACCCATATGAAGAGCTGGAGAAGCGTTAGGCCGACTACTGTTAAAGTGTGATCCAAATCGCTGGCATAAATCCGATACGGTTGGCTAACATCGTGCGTTACATAGAGTAAACCGATACACTTTAGGCTAATTAAATAGACGCGCAGCTCGTCACCGGAAAACATGACGGAACAGGTGCAACTGACGCAAAAGGATGTCGAAGTGTCCTGCTCGTGGCGTTAGATCAATCAACTTGTTGAGAAGGACTAGCCAGGGGATGTTTTTTTTTTAATATGTATATTATATGACCAACAAATGTGAGCTAACAATCAAATCAATTGATGTTTACATTTCATTAGCGCTTAGTGTTTAACCTGACTGCACCCAAGGGGCCTATAGATAAACAAACATAGTCCAAGGGTGGCAGGCAGGCAGGACATTAAGCGAATTGGATTTATAATATTTATAAGGGAAAATACTTTAAAAAGGAAGTTGTTATACAGGATAGAAAAGGTAAACTTGAATCGAATCAAATTCACATGAATTTGTGTGGATAAGAGTTATTTATAATTTAAAAATAAATTTAAATTTATAATCAGTGTAAGGTAAAATCTAAAAATTAGTTTTTGATAATTTAAAAGTCTACCTAATATTTATTTTATTTATTTTTTTTTTAATTTCACATTTGCGAGTTCTATAAGATAGTTATTTTTGGTGACAATAATTTGGAAATAAAATATATTACTCAGAATGCAATTGCTAAAAGTATTCGCAAAAAAAAGTTATTTTAAAATACTAAAAATTATATTTAGTACAAATAAATGATCTATTTAAATCTAGTATTTACAATTTAAAAACATAACAAATAGTGCCTGATAGAATTTACTAAAACACACACGTAGTTTACCTGCACATGAACCGTGTCGCTCATTAGAGCTGTTGCCGCTGTCATTATTGTGGGCAAGAGCCAAATAGTCGACCTTAAAATGTTTTCGTACACTGATTTGCCCGTGTCGGTGACCATTGTGATGTACAATATGCTCGTGGAGTCCAGTGAGGAGAAGAGCAAGCAGAGCCAAATGCTGAAGCCATAGACGATGCTGACCTCATCCGTGCAGAGGATGAGCAGACGGTCGTGCGTATCGAGGCAGGCGCGCAGGCGCAGAACATCGCCACAGCTGCGCTTGGGCTGCTGCAGCTGATGGACCACAACGGTTAACTGCGCCTGATTGCACTGCAGCAAATGCCGAATGACATGAATGAGAGAGATGTAGGTGCCCTGAATGAAGCTGCTCGTCAGGGCGCGCAAGAAAAACCCAATTGTGCTGATTCGGAACAAAACGGATATGTGGCCCAGCCAGTCGGTAATGCAGGCATTCAGAAAGTGGCTAAAGTAGATGATATTGGAGAAGACCAGAACGACAAACAGACGCTGGGGCAGCTTCAGTCGTAGGCCCGTCAAATATTTCCTCTTATATAGCTCCACTTGTCGCACAACGTGAATTTGCAGCTTCTGCAGCAGGAAAAGCCAGGCATTCTGCACGAATTGTATGATCATGGCCGAGAGGAGCACCAGGCGCTCATAGTGATTCCCCGTGGCGGTCATTTCGTAATTAAAGTGAAAGGTCCAAAAGCACACCAGGATCACCATACAGCTGATCAAATAGATCTGCACTACCAGATGGATCAAATAGAAAATGACGCTGCGACGCAATCGAAAACGATCCATCCGAGAATCGTACTCTATGCAAAGGATGCCCAGATACCGGCAGATGCTATAGTACGGATATAGCTCCATTGGCCTACGCTTTCTCATGATAATGATTGCAATTCACTCAGCACTCGACAGAAACTAATTTCAATATAATCCCTTCGTGGTGTATTTATATCGACGAAAATCATTTGTTGACAAACAATTTCCTGTTTGTGTTTTCATAGGCCTTTGCTTAGTTTTCATGTGGGTTTGCTTATAGCTATAGCACTTTAGTTGTGTATCATAAATAGTGGGGCTTTGATTCAACTTTAATGGAATATTTGAAATATATATAAAAGTGTTTCAACACGTTTGCGAAGGGCAAAGAGTATATTAGTTCTCTACTCACAAATGTTATCTGTTAACTCACCTGATTGGCCACATTGTTAACGACCAAAGGCAAAGTCATGTAGAAGAATATGGGCGTTAGCCAGCTAAGCACTAACAGAACTTCTTTGTGTGAGAAGCGATCCACGAATGTGCCTATGTAGCATATGCAGGTGGCATCCAGCACAAAGTACAGAAAGGGAAATATCAACGCCACACCAAAGACATTCAGCAACTCTTCGTGGCAGAGCAGGAGTAGTTCATCGTGAATGCACAAATTACTTGCTATTTCGAGCAGGGGAATTCGATCACCCATGTGCAATTGATGCGCTTGGGCCTGGAGCAGAATCATTACTACGTAAACCAAGGCTGTGTAGTATGTGATGACGTATTTAATGCGAATGTTGTGCATGCATATGCAGATTAGACCGAGCAGCTGCTGGAATCCGTTATTCTGCTCCCAGGTGGCAATCGTATATTGAAGAATATGGCATACGTATATCACACTGATGGCAAGCCAAATGCGATACAGCCAACGCAGCGAACTGAATGCGTGAGTGTCCAGGTGCAAACGACGAGCCAAGTCCATGAGGCGATTCAGTAGATCCTGTTGCAAGTGCTGCTGGCTGTGCAGCCAAATGTGCAATAGCAACTCAGTGAGCGGTGAGGCGAGGAGAAGAATCTGATAGACGGCACTGCCCACAGTCGACTCCATGCTCACGTAATCCACACGGTTGCCCAGAAAATCTTCCAGCAGTGCACAAATCATGATGCACAGCACCAATAGCTGGGCAAACCGTGAGCAGCATGTGGCATGCAAAACATAACGCTGCATGCAGCTCGAATAATCGATATCACTGAGACCCAAATATCGCTGATAGTGTAAAAATGCGAACAACTCCTGGGATTGCATGACTTTTGTGTACTGCGCCACAAGCTGTGCGATATATACTGAATGTGGCATAGAGTTAGAGAGTATAGAACTCACTATATCCAAGAGATGGATACAACATTGATATCGAGAGAAACTTGATATACGATTGAGGTACAAAAGTAAAATTAATATTTTAATTATAATAATGCACTTGACGAGTACATGAGAGATCATATCTTGTATTTCATAAAGGTATTATAGAGGTATACATATATTCATATACATACAAGTTTATGAATCTGAATACCGTTTCATTGCGCACAAATAAATATATTTCAATACTCACCTCGTAAGCCAAGTTATTGATTTTCAACGGCATGTACATATATATAGTATTAAATGCCATCCAGGATAATATGCCCAGAACATTTAGTAGAGTGAAGCGACTCTCCAGCGTTGCTAGATAGGCCACAAATATGGAATTCTGACAGAGAAATATAAAACAGGCGAGCAGAGCGATGCCAAAGACCTGAACGAGCTCCTCGTGGCAGAGCAGCACTATTTCATCGTGAGTTTGCAGATAGAGTGCCAATTCATCTGGATGGATGTCGGGTATTGCTCGGCTTAACTGTGCCGCCTGTGCTTGCAACAGATTTGAGACAACATTCACCAGGGATGTGTAGCAAGTAAGAATGAAATTCTTCCTTATAATATGCAAGAAAAAGCAAATGTAATAGGAAACCTTGTAGATCGCATGACAATAGTCATTATATATCACAGCAAACATCATCAGATGAAGAATATAGAAAGTGCAGCTGACCAGGCAAAGGCGATACAGCCAACGAGGGCAAGGCAATGACTCGGTGTTCAGATGTAAGCGTTGGCTCAGCCGGGACATTCGCTGCAAAAGCAGCTGTTGTCGCTGCTGCCGGAATCGTAGGCACAGATTAAGCAATATCTGTATGATGGGTGGCATCGACAGATGGAGATAGTAGAACGCTTTGACTGGCTTCGAAATCATTTCCGCATTGTAAACACATTCTCCTGTCAGAACTCCATGCAGAGAGCCAAACACAATGAGCAGCACCACGAGCTGACTCAAGCCAGAACAGCAATCGAAGTGCACTATATAGCTTTGCAATTGCCTCGAGTAGTCTATATCATTCAATCCCAAGTAACGTTGGTAACTGAGAAAACTTAGCAGCTTGCGATCCCTCGGCTTTTTGAGCATTTTCAACACACTTGCGTCCTAGTAGGGGCTTGGGCAATAACTGAGGGCAGTGAAATGTTTATATGAAGCGAAGGGAAATTATATCTATAGTTTCATCTTTCAATTCCAATTAGTGGTATTATTTTCAGGCTGTGGCATTATTATTGACTTCAATTTGTCTATCGTAACGACTGTTTATTATCTGATGGAACTTTAATTCAAAGGACTCGAAATAAAATATACCCTTTAACTGCAATTAATGAATACATTTCTGTATGTTAGGATATCCGGATAATTTAATCAACAATGATTAAAAATAATAAACTCTAGCCAAACAAAAATGTGTCTTTTCTGATTTCGTATTATAACATTTGCTGTTAATCCGAGTACGGCCTAACCAAGAAGATATGAATTTATAAAATTAATAAAGTTTTTCTTTATTTTCTGGAAACTAAAAAAACTTTTATCGAACTATATTATAATTTAATTTTTCTTACATTTTGCAGTCTAGTAATAAGAAGAAACTTTAATATATATATGATATATAATATCCCAAACTGTGATTTTCTAATTTGCCTTAATGTCAAAGATAGCTCGAATATGAGTCGTAGTTAAAAATATATAATTAACTGTTAAATTAACTGTTAACTGTTAAACTCACCTGATTGGTCACATGATTAATTGTCAACGGCAGGTATATATAGAATATATTTAGTGTCATGCAATAAATTATGACCAAAACTTCCACATATGAGAAGCGACTTTCCAATGTAGCCATATAGCCGACATATATGCAATTCTGACATAGGTGAAGGAGACTCAACAACATGGCGATGCCGAAGACCTCAACAAGCTCTTCGTGACATAACAGCAAGAGTTCATCACGAATGCTCAAATGGCTAGCCAGTTGCTCTGGGGATAGTCCCACAGATTGATCTCGAATCAGTTGTTCAGCGTGTGCTTGCAACAGGCTACACATAACACTCGTCAAGGAGGTATAGCAAATGATGACGAAAAACGTGCGCACGATGTCCAGCATTGAGCAGATATAATAGAGTATAAGCTCCATCCGTGGACAAGTGTGCCAGAAGAGCGCGGTAAAAATAGTCATGTGTATAGAATAGATAGAGCTGGTGCCAAGCCACAGGCGAAAAAGCCAACGGGGGTAGGAAAATTTTGGTGTATCCAAAAGCAGGCGTTGACTCCACAAAGACATTCTCTGCAGTAGCTGCACCTGACTTTGTTGCCGTATGCGTAGTAAAATGGAGAATATTATTTGTAAAATTGGTGCCGTAACCATATATAGATGATAATATAATTGAACTGGACTGGAAATCATCTCATCGTTAGAAACACACACTCCGCTCAGAGTTCCATAAAGAGTGGAGCATACTACAGCCAGAATCAGAAGTAGACTTGCATAAGAGGACCAATCGGAACTAATTGAATATCCATGAGACTGCTTCGAATATTCTATGTCATTCAATCCCAAATAACGCTGATAGTGTATAAAGCTTAAAAGTTTACGCTGCTTCGGTTTTGAGAACATTTTCAAAGCACTTGCGCTTGACCAAACGTTGCGACGACTACTGAAGTATATACTCGTACATATATCTTTCGTGATCTTTCATTTCATTTAATGGTTATTATACTAATTAAAATATTAAAAAAAAAATTTGAAACTGCAGCTAATAACTTAAGTGTTTAGTCAGCTTACTGATAATCAGTGGCATGGCTAGGAATATTGAAAATGGTAGGAAGCAACTAAAGATAACTAATTGGATGTACCCGAGTATGAAGGAACCAGAAACCTACAAATGCAATAATTCTATATCGTGTATTTAGTATATATGAATGTAGTTTAAATGGGTTTTGTTTTGCCGATTTTGAGTAGAGTATATAAAGTACAGACGCCTAGCCAGGCTGACTTACAGCCTTAACTGTCCTATTCCTATTGTATTATCAAGAAATTCGATATCGATAAAACTCAGAACTATAGAACTATATAGAACAATACTATAGAATCTCCCCATTGCTTTCAAATACACCAAACCCCAATTCTCATTTAACTTAGACAAGGAATTCTATATATTAGCTGCAATCAGCACTTATTAAATGATCCAATTAGACTCTTAGACCATAGTAAACCCAGCCAAACATTCAAAGTTTTGTGTAGTTGTATGGCAGAGCATTAGACATATCACTCACCTGTTTGGCCAGGCTGTTAAGTAACAACGGCATAGTTAGGTAAAAACTTATTGGCAAAATCCAACTTAATAAAAATACTACTTCCCCTCCTGAGAAACGCCCCTCCAACGCAGATATATAACCATTGCAGGTGGAGTCCAGTAGAAAGTATAATGTAATAAATACAAAGATACCGCCAAATACTTGAACCATTTGTTCGTGGCATAGCAATAGCAGCTTATCGTGAATGGACAAATTGTTGGACAATTGCCTCATAGACATAATAATTCCATTCTCTATAATATACAATTGATTTGCCTGCTCCTTCAATAGGACCAACGTGACGTACAGTAATGAGGTGTACAGCGTGATGATATAGTTGGTGCGGGTTATATGCACGTGGAATGCGATAGCACCGACTACATATCCGAAGCTAATACAATTGGAAATTGAAGCTGATATTATACAGCCTGCATAGTAAAAGTTAATGCAAATCCAGAGGCGAAAAAGCCAACGTGGCAAACATAGATCCAATGTGTTAACCTTTAATTCACTGGCCAAGTCATTCAGCATTTCGAGTAGATCGCGTAGCGCATATTGCTGACATCGAATCCAGATTTGCACAAAGATCTGAACAATGGGAGCAGCCAGTTGGACCACATAAAAGAATTCATTAGCAACTCGCGATCGCATGTCCAAGTATGCACTGCTATCTGTATCCAACATACAATAAGTACCGTAGATTAGAAAGGTTAAAATCAAGAACTGCAAGCTATAAGAGCATAAATTTCCATTGATCACATAGAAATTCGTAATGTTAGTGTAGTCCATATCGGTTAATCCCAAATATCGTTGATAGAGAATAAAAGTCAAGAGCTTTCTCTGCTTTGGCTGGACAAACATTCTAATTGGAGAAGAGCACAAGCGCGTGTCTAGAAGTCGAATGGATAACTGAGCGAAATACCTTTTTAGCGTTAATATAGTTAATTGAAATGCAAGATAATCTGTGGGCGAATAAGTTGTTATATGTTTAAGCGGGACATTTCAGACTGAGTAGGACGAAACTCAAATAAAAGGAGCGAAAAATAAATTGATACAGATACAGATACAGATACACAGATAGAGATACACCGATACAGATACACAGATACAGTTTCAGATAAAGATACAGATATAGATACAGGTAGAGGCTGCAAACTTCAAATTACTGCTAGAATATAAATAAATCTATAGCCTAAAGTTCACTCACCTGCTTAGTCAGATTGTTGGCTGTTAATGGTATGATAAGAGACATAAATATCGGCACTATCCAGCAGAGCACAAAGAGGACTTCCACAAAAGAAAACCGTTCCTCCAATGAGGCTAAATAGCACGTACATATAGCGTCGAGTACGGTATACAGAAACAGGAGTACCAAAGAGCCGCCATAAACTTCAACCATCTGTTCATGGCAAAGGAGGAATAGCTTATCATGAAAGCGCAAATTCTCCGCTAGTCTGTCCACGATAATCGTAAATTCAGACTGAAGCTGATTGGCCTGTTTCTCCAGCAGCGTCATTATCAGATTGACCAAGGCTGTATAGCACACAATGATGTAGTTGGTGCGCACGAGGAGCACAATGTAGCCCGACATGGCGAGGTAGTAGCCGAAACTTTGATTGACATTAAAATAGAAACGTGCGAAAACAATATCACAAGCATAGAGAACGGAAATGCCCATCCAGATGCGGTAGAGCCATTTAGGGCGATTTAATTCAGTAGTAATTACTCCAAAGTCTCTGGACCAATCAGTTAACCGGTTGAGGATGATCAACTGCGACTCCTGTTTGACACGTAACCAAATATTGACTAATATCTGGGTAATCGGAGCCGTTAGTATATAGATATGATGAAAATCATTGCCCGACTCGGAAGGCAAATTCACATATCTTCCTGAAACCGCGCCGTAAAAACACGCAACAAAAACCACTTGTATGCCTAGCTGTATGCCATAGGAACACCAGTTTCCGTTGATCACATAACACTCCATACTACTGCAGTAATCAATATCCGTGAGCCCCATGAAACGTTGATAATGTAGAAATGGAAAAAGTTTTCCACTTCGCTTCGACTTTGACATACTGTACCGAAAAACTGGCGCGTATCGTGCGTTAGGTTGTCCAACTAAATGCTCTTTGAGTTCAGGGAATTGTCTAAATGGGAATATTACGAAATCGCTAAGGCAGCAACTTAATTGAAGTGCTTAGGGCTCTTATTTGAACAGAGTTGTGTGTACCAAAATGCGTACGACATTTCATTATTTGCATAAAACATAATTCTAATTGAAGGCCTTTATCTTAGTTTATCTCTATTTGGATATTTAAGGGTATGAACGCAATGGTCTAAGAGTAGCTCTTATAATTGAAATATGTTTTAGTATTCCTCCCATTTTTTGACTTTTATTGTTAAGGATTTTACATTCAGCAGATAATTAAAAAATTAGAGTGGCACACAAGAATGACGGCTTAATATAAATAAAATAATATCCAAAAAACTCATCCTTATTTGCAATTAAAGCTAAAGTATTTCCTAGTCAGTTATATCCCACATATTTTACATGCTGTCACTATCGTCACTCTATTTTGTCGTGACATTGCGTAAATAATCCTATCGTAAATAGTCTTACCTCATCAGCCAAATCGTTGATTATCATTGGCATGCTTAGGAATATGCAAATTGGTATCATCCACCGGAGGAGCAGCAACATTTCCATGTAGGAGAAACCATCCATGGGCAGAGCCAGATAGCATACCTCGGTGGCATCGAGCGTGCCATATAGATAGGGCAGAACCAGAGCGCCGCCAAAGACATTCACCAACTCATCCTGACATAGGAGCATTAACTCATCATTCAGCCTCAAATTGTTGGCTATGTGCCGCAGGCAGATTCGCTCATTGCGCAGTTGCCGTTGCAGTTGGGCTGCTTGCGCACGGAACAGATGCTTCACTAGACACACCAGCGAGCTGTAGCAGATGATGATGAAATTCGCACAGACGAGGCGTACATAGAAGCCAAGTAGAAAGGTTAAATGATCTCGCTTCATGTCCATATCGAATACTACGAAAAACACAATATCCAAGGCGTAGTACAGGCAAATTGCGAGCCAAAAATAGTAGAGCCAACGGGCGCGTATCTTTTCCAATTCAACAGCTTGCAGAGATGTGGCCACACGGCTCAATATGTTAAGCAGCTTCAGCTGCATCTGCTGATGCAAACGCATCCACGCGTTGGAAATCAATTGGGTAAACGATGCAGCCAAGATGACCAAATGATCGAAATTGTCGCCAGATCGCGAATCAGTTGCCTGATAATTAACCGACCATTGCATAAACGTGGCCAAAATGCAAGCGATCAAAATGGCTTGCACAAGTGAATGCAGCATATAAGATACGCAGCTGCCTTTTAGTATATAATGCCCCGAGGCCTTGGAGTAGTCCAAGTCGTTTAAACCCAAGTAGCGCTGATAATGCAAGAACTTCAAGAGACGCATTTTGATTTTCACACACGCGTTGCTTCTCGAACTATAATTCGTTAACTGAATCGAAATTTTGAAAAATAGTTGCATAAATAAAATTTTATTTAAATTTTGAGTTGAATGGGAATTTCCGCGGCAGAAAAACTTTATCTTCTTGGTGTTTAATTATAGTTGTTTGAGCAAATTGCGCATGGTATGCTAATACCATCGATACCAATTTCATTTAACTAAAAAACATTTTAATTTCACCCTGAAATTTACATAGAAGATATCACTTTTTGATTGCAATTAATTCGATTAGCACAAGAACAACTAAGCACAATGAAATTTAAAATAAAATTAAATTAAATTAAAATATTTCTATATTAAAAATCAAATAAATTCATAATTTTTTTTATAATAATAATAATTTATTATTTTTGCATTTATAATACTATCTAAATTTGATTACTTTTATTTATCTATGCAATATACTTATGTAAGATATCTTAAACACATACTTAATAAATTATTTTTTATAATTTCATCATTACAGAAAAGTGAATTGGACTTTTTGGAATGGTCTCCGCTGAACGATAGAAACTTAATGCCAGAGGACTGGACAACGGACACATTGTTCTCGGCAATAAATGGACCATTTCCATTTCCAGATTCCAGAGAGATCGGTAAGCATTAAATGAAATCAATCTAAATATCGGCATGTATATAATTATTCATATATACCATAAATTTCAGCACGCGGTGCAGGCATTGCGGATTTTATACAGCCAAGTCTGGGGCCATTGCAACCGAATTTAGATGATATCGATCTTACCCTGTCAGGTATATTGAATTCATACAATTATATATTAGTTTACAGAGATAATTAATAGTCAATTTCTTGCTTAGATTTGCTCACCACAACCGGCTCACGCTTGCCACCCGTGCCCGAGGAGGGCACTGATGCGGAGATGCTCAAGAACGACGACTATTGCCTGCAGGCGATCGTAGGTGCTCCGCACACGCTCTACAGCAACGACAACATGATGGAGGTGGTGGCCAGCAGCAGCGGCGGCGGCAGTGCTCAAGTGGATGCCAATATGCTGGAGCTGAACACGCCCATTGGCAACATGCCCTACGGCGACATCGAGCAACAGTTTGTGACAGCGCGTCAGCAGGCTGTAAGCGATGCGCAGCAGCAACATTTGCTGAACGATAGTCAGTCGACGCGTCTGCATGCGGGCAAGCACTTTGGCCCCATCGGCGGCAGTGATAGCAGCAGTCGTTGCTCCCCCAACGACAGTTTCTCCAGCAAGAGCGTCATTAACGGGCGCATCGCCAAGAATACGCAGCGTCTCATACGACGCGAGCCGCACAACTATGATAAGGCGCAGCCGACGCTGCATCAGACGACAATCTATCAACAGATGCTCGCCGAGCAGCAAAAGAATCAACAGCAGCAGCAGCAGCAGCAGCAACAGCAACAACAACAGCAGCAGCAGCAACAGCACCTGAGTGGTGGTGCTGTATTGCAGCCGTTTCAGACACCCCAAGAGCAGCAGCAGCAACAGCAACAGCAACTGTTGCAGCAACAACAACAGCAGCAGCAGCCGCGCTTGCTTTTTCCCACACAGCAGCAGCAGCAGCAACAAAGCGCTTACAATACGCAAAGTTTCTTAAGTACCTATGCAGACAGTTATCAGCACCAACAGCAGCAGCAACAATTGCCCACACAGCAGCAGCAGCAGCAGCTCAGCGTCAAGGTGGAGCCACATCAAACAGATGTTATGTCTTTGCTGAACGACAGCTCCTATAACTCCATTAGCTACAAGCCGTATCCGCAGTTTAAGAAGTCCGCATCCACGGGTACGTTTCTGAACGTGCCACGGGTCTCCCAGCAGCAGCAGCAACAGTCGCAACAGCAAACCTACATGCAACAGGACCAACAGCAGCAGCAATTGCAGATGCAACACTCGCTGCCTTTGAGCCTGGGTCTAAGCCCGCAACAGTACATGCAGCTGACGCGCCAGCAACAGGCAGCCAACACACAGCAGCAGCAGCAGCAGCAGCAGCAGCAACAACAACAACAGCAGCAGCAGCAGCTGCAACAGCAAACTGTCTCCAGTCTGCTGCTGCAACAGCAACCCGCTGTAAGCGTCGCCTCCTGGGCCACGCCCAATCAAACCACCCTCTTGCCCAAGGAGATGCATCGCTCCAATAGCTTGCCGCTGAATGTGTCGCTGCCCAAGCCCATTCACCACGAGCAGCAGCAGCAGCAACAACAGCAACAGTTCATTGTGCCCAAGTATCATGTGAAGGGTAAATCGCGTGTGCGCAGCAATTCGATGCATCAACAGCATACGGTTGTCGCTGCCGGCGGTGGCTCACCAGTCAACAATGGACTCGCCAGCAGCAGCAGCAACAGCAGCAGCAGCAACTTGCTAATCACACAGCAGATGCAACAGGCCACCAGCGATCCAATGCTCAACAGCACACTCGCCCAGCTGCTGACCTCAAGTAAGTAGACAATATTTACAAATTTTGTATGAGAGAGTTTAGATATACATACTATAAGAAAATCTATTTATTTATATACTGTTCTTCTAAAGCAACATTTCGAAATATCTTTTATCTTCTCTATCCAGATACACGCTTGCAGGCAGCCGTGGCCAGCAAAACGCAACAGTCGAATTCTTCCGCCAATGCCATAGTCAGCAACAGCAACATCAGCAGCAACAGCAACATCAGCAGCAACAACAACAACCAGCAGCAGCAGCAGCAACAGCAGCAAACGCTATATGTGAACAATGCAGCAACATCGCCGATGTCTGTGCCGGTGCCAGCGCAACAACATTCACCAAAGAAATCCGCCTCGTTGCCGCTGTCGATTGCTGCGCCGGCACTGCACAGTCCGCCCATGGGGAAGATGCTCAGCTTTGGTGGCCAGGGTGGCAATAGTCTGGGTAGTAACTTGAGCCTGTCGCCGGACTCGCCGTTCCACGATTCGCAGGACTCGCCGCTGTCGCCGACGACCAGCTTGAAGTATCAGCCGCGCGATACGCAACGTCGCGCTGGCCACATTCATGCCGAGCAGAAGCGTCGCTATAACATCAAGAATGGCTTCGATACACTGCACTCGCTCATCCCGCAACTGCAGCAGAATCCCAATGCCAAGCTGAGCAAGGCGGCGATGCTGCAGAAGGGCGCCGATCACATCAAACAGCTGCGACAGGAGCGCAATGTGCTCAAGGATAAAATCGAAGCGTTGCGCATGGAGCGCGATGCACTAAATAACTCCCTGATGTAAGTTCCCACATCTCGTTTACTTAACTCGGCTAATTCGAATATTTTCTATATATAGGCATCTGCACTCGGTGCTGCCGGCGAATGGAGCGCCTGTGACACGCCAGGGCACGGAGCATGTGCGTCAGCTATATGAGGTCTATGTGCGATACAATACAATGAACGATTGGAAGTTTTGGATTGTAAGTGGGAGTGAGGGAGCATCATGCATATAAAGATGTAGAATACGTTCATAACTGAACTGTATATTTATGGAGCTACTTTAATCACTTAAGTTACTTTAAACACATTCAAGCTTTACTCGTTTGTCCGTCTGAGTCCGTTTACGTTGTTTATCTATTCGATAAAATCTTAAATTTGACTTTGCTTTGCTGCAATGAGCAGAAGTAACAAACATATTTCTTAATTTGTTGAATTGATATTCAAAACACATTTTACTTTTCAGCTGGGTCTCATTCTGGAACCTTTGTTGGCCTCTTACACCTCGACCGTTTCCAGCGCCAGTTTGGATGAGCTGCGGCGCACCGCTTTCCTCTGGGTGGATCAGCACTGTTCGCTCATAGATCTGCGACCTGGTGAGTATATCCTGCTATAAACACATGAAAAACGAACACCTTGTTAACTTCTATTTCTGACTTTTAGCTGTTACGAACAAATTAAAGTACCTATCGATGCACACAGATATTGTGTCGGATCCACCCAGTACCTTGCAGGAGGAAGTGGCGAAGGCTCTGCAGAATACCAGCGGCCAGCATCCCAATCTCCATGGCTCCTAACCGTTGTTGCTGCTCGTGATATGAATTTAACCCTATTGCTACAACAAATCCAATGTCAATGCAAAATGTTCGCCCTGCTGGGGGCAGCCACGTTCCACAGTCAGCAGCTAAAAATTGTACAAATTGCCTCGTGCTGGGGCAGATTCATTGTATATGTGTGTGCATGTGTGCATGCAACAGATGCACCATCAGCCATCAGCCACCAGCAGATGTAGATGCAGCCTCAGCTGCAACCACAGTTGGCGTGTAGTGCCTACAATTCTATGACTTAAGTGTAAAATAAACGATTTTACAATTTTTTTCAAAAATATTGTGAGTGTATTATTCCAATATATTCGAAATCATCGATATTGTGAGTTAATATTGTATATACATATGTGAAGAATGTGTATTCATTAGAACAATTCTTTATCGTTAGGATAGATAGATAGATAGCATAGACATGAGAAATATTATGAAAATCGCAATGTAAGCTTAGTTTTCGAAATTTCAATAATATTATATACGTCTTATCATAGCTTTACTTTTGGTCTTATCATCATTTGGACGAATTTAAGTGAAGTGTTTGTCCAGCTAAACCAATTTACGCCCCACTTTTCGTACATGTGATTTTCTGCTCTGTAAAGTCCATTTAAATTACTGAAAATTGGAGAAAATCAAGTCATTTACTCTTGGCTATGGGTGTTTCCATTTATTTCGTTACCATTTGCCGCATTTGTCGAACCACCATCCAGAGTGCAACCATTCTGCACAGTTTCCAGTTCCCCAATTATCGTGATCCGCATCTAGTGTTGAGAATTGCATATTTAGATGATGGACCATTGCGTCGCCTGCGTCTCCAGAATACTCTCCCAATGATTTCAGCTTAAAGTTCTCCTCTTCACCGCCGATCAAGAAGTCACTGTATCGTGCATATCGAACTTCATTATTAAAATTCTTTAGATAAATATACAGTTCGTGTTGTTTGTACTGTGTCAATAAGTGAATCTTATTAAGACCCATGAAAAACTCTCCGGTTGGTTTACCAAAGCCAGATTGATAATCCTTCATAGTTCTGTCGAACTTTTCAGAGCCATCTTGGCGACGCTGAATAACTGTCCAGCCGGAATCAACAAGAGTTGAATCACATGAAACGTTGAAAGGACTCGATCCAGGCAATTTTATTTCGACTATATTTGATTGTTTTCCAATGCTTTCGATTTCTCTGGTTTTGGCAACATCTATGGCATTTTCAGTTTTTAGTTTCAATATTGCAGAATCTGTATTCTTTTGCTCTACGTTTACCTGCTCGATTATATTATTTCTGCTCTGTATTACCATTGCGATTTTATCTGTTTTATTTTCAAGATCTTGAGTTGAATCCCATGAAACGTTGAAAGGACTCGATCCTGGCACTTTTATTTCGCTTACATTTGATTGTTTTCCAATGAAGCTTGAATTTATAGATTCGATCTGATTTATTTTACTTTCGAATTCTTTGATTTTGGCGACATATATGGCACTTTCAGTTTTTAGTTTCAATATTTCAGAATCTTTATTCTTTAGCACTACGTTTATCTGTTCGACTATTTTATCTTTGCTCTCTATTTCCATTGCCATTTTATCCATTTTATTTTCAAGATCTTTAATTGTTGCCACATTTTCGATACCTTTTGATTTCAGATCTGATAATTCTTTATCTTTATTAGTAAGTATGACCTCTTGAATGTCACCTAATAGCTCCTCTTTGGTCAAGCAATGTTTTTGATGTGCATTAGTTAGTGCTCGTTGGCTTTCCAAAGACCCGATAGTTGATTTAAGCTTGGTGATTGTATCAGATACATTGTTGAACTGTTTTTCCTTCGATTTAACTTCGTAAACCTTTAACAGGAGGGGCTCCACTAAGCGGAAACAGAACCTGTTGCATTGCTTGGTCATTTTTATCGAGTCAGCAGGTTTCTGTAATACTTATCTATAAATCACGCAATACAGATCAAATAGCCCTCAGTGAACTTACAGCAACATCTGGCAGGAATGCCAATGCAAGCAGAGATAACAATAGCTTTTGCAATATATACATCTTATGAAGGTCAACAAATGCTTATGAACCGCACTTCGTTATATTCAATCCACGACTAATTCTTGTTTACTTATAGCAAACTGTAATTTGCTCTCAACATATTATCAGTAAAAGTTCAAATTCTCATATTGTGGAGGAATGCTTGAAGGCAGATTCTGAAATTCTTAGAAATAATCATATACATACATATACATATGTGTGCATATACAATAGTATGATGACTAATTAAATAATTAAAATAGAGAATATGCTTTTTTGTATTCATTTAGAAATTTTAATTCCCAACAATTTTTACTTCTCCAGTTTGTCTGAGCATTACCGCTTCTATGTAGATATTATGTAGATATGCAAGGCAGATAAATTGTCAATGATAATGCCCAAGATCAGCAATCCTTGAATTCTGTTCGATAGAACGGTGCATTAAAATATTATTATTTTTTTCGAATACCAACAAAGCCCACAGGAAATGTTTTATTTATATTCGTGTTTATTTTATTTTCATTATAAATTACATTGGATAAAAAAAAACATTACAATTAAGAGAAAAAATGAATATAAACATATTCACTCCAATGACAGAAAGTTTCTTTCTATTAGAAACGAAAGAGTCGTAAGGGAGACGGCGCTCGGTAAATCCGATTTGGTCTCGAATTTGCCCGAAAATCGGACTGAAATACCAGGCGAACAGAAGTGAGAAGCAGCGTTAAATATATTAAACAAGATTGCTATGTTAGCTAACAGAGTGGAACCTAAGCTCGCTGTTAACGAACAGAGAGAGAGAGAGAGAGAGAGAGAGCATTTAATTTGAGCTGCTTTAACTCGTTCGCTCAGCGGCTGTTAAATAACATAAAGCTGTGATATCAGACATGTTATCTAAGCATTATTATTAAAATTATTGAAGAGCTGAAATAATAATTATACATCTTAAACACCATATTAAATTCAAATCATTCAGTTTAACAATACTTTATTTATTATCAATAATATATATAAATACATATTAATAATAATAAAACCAAATTATCTAATACATGTGATCTCCTTTTGTACAAATTTCATATAATTAAAGCAAAATTAGCGAGCAACTGCAATATAACATTACACCAATCGGATTTATTTATGAATTTTTAGTATGCCTGCGCGCTCAATGCAAGTATTAGAAAAGCACTCTCAATTGCGATCCAAGCTGCTCCTCTCTTATGTTTGTGTTACACATATATTGGTGTATGTGCGATTGTTGTGCATCGAAAGCATTCAAAAGTCATTAGGTTCCGCTCGGCGGCACCCGCTCAATTTTATTCCAAGCGACGTCTTACACCTTCTGTTCACCCACTTGTGGACTTTCTCACTCTCAAAATTCACACTGCAATCGTGTGCATGTTCACCTTTGAAATAAAGCTTGACGGGCAAGAGAGAGCTTTATCTTCCACTTTGTGACGAAGCCGCGAACTATGGTTTTTATTTGTAGATTTCTACATGCTTAATAACATATTTACATTGCTGACAAAAATGAACAGATTTACATTACATTATTATTTTTAATCCTATTGAAATATACCAAATTCTTATGCACGTAAATCAATTCAGACAATGGACGGCACACACCATTCTGAGAGAAACTCAGCGAACAACTAAGTTCAGCGAATTGTGGAAGGCCTTTATAAAGCCGGCGCTCGCTTACACACTATTACACATCGAAACCCATTTACTGTAAATGGCTTTCACATACTCACACATCAATACAAATGCAATAATAACTGGCATACATCTTCAGCAGCCTTCCTCTCTCTCACAAAACACAGAAGAGCAGAGCATTATTAAAAATATTGAGCTTAGCATCCACAATAGCATTTAACAACTATGATCCACAGCGCTCTGAGCTGGATTTTACTGTTTTTGCACTGCTATGCACAGGCGACAAAAATGTCGTATCCAATTCACATTATTTTATTTATCGAATGAGTGCTCGCTAAGCAAAAGACTTATTAAAATAGAACAGGCCATTCATTAGGTCATTAGTCAGCTCACGCAAATTGATTATGACACTTTTGTCGGCTCTGCGTATGTACTCAATGCGAGCAAAACAAAAATAAAGTGAGAGAGGAAGCCAACGCCAAAATTGATTAAGCTAAAGTGTAGGCTCTTATCTGTTAATGACTCTCCCTCTCTATCTACATACATATACATATCTCTCTGCTTGTGTGTGTTTCTTTTTCCTGCTCTCTCATTGCAGTTACATTTCAAGTGCATTTATACAAGTATTCCAGTTTCGCCAGCTCAGTTGTTTTTTCATTGTTGCGGAATGTTCATCTTCGGCCTGTTACTACTGCTGCTGCTCGCCTGGATCTGGCAGCGCTGGCACTTCGGTTATTGGCAGCGCCTGGGCGTGCCTCAAACTCCCGCTACGCCCTTTGTGGGCAATGTCTGGCGCCTGCTGCGCGGCTGCTGTTGCTTTGGCGATCAGTTTCGCGAGCTGTACGAGAGCGCCGCAGCCAAAGGTGAAGCCTATGTGGGCATCCATGTGTTGCACAATCATGCGCTGCTGCTGCGTGAGCCGGCGCTAATCAAGCGTATTCTCATCGAGGACTTTGCGCAGTTCTCGAGTCGCTTCGAGACTACAGACGCTATCGGCGACACGATGGGCTCCCAGAATCTGTTCTTCTCCAAGTACGAAATGTGGCGCGAGACGCACAAAATCTTTGCGCCCTTCTTTGCTGCCGGTAAGGTGCGTCACATGTTCGGACTGCTGCAGCAGATTGGCCGGCAGTTGGAGCAGCATATGGCCAGGCAGCTGGCAGCATCTGGCTCATCGGCGACCGCATTCGAGCTGGAGGTGAAGCAGTTGAGCGCGCTCTTTAGCACGGATATAATTGCCTCACTGGCCTTCGGGCTGGAGGCCAATTGCCTGCAGCAGCCGGACGCTGAGTTTCGCCGGATGTGCATCGAGGTGAATGAGCCGCGGCCGAAGCGTCTCCTGCATCTCTTTACCATGTTCTTCTTCCCTCGCTGCTCGCGCCAATTACGCACACATCTCTATTCGGAGGAGTACGAACGCTTCATGCGCAAGTCCATGAACTGGGTGATGGAGCAGCGGGCGGCTAGTGGCGAGCAACGTCACGATTTGATTGACATATTCCTGCAGCTGCAGCGCAACCAGCCGCCGGAGAGCGTTGTGCATCGGCGTGACTTCTATGTGGCGCAAGCGGCATTCCTGCTGCTGGCCGGTTTCGACACCTCCTCCTCGACCATAACGTTCGCACTGTACGAGCTTGCCCGCCAGCCGGCCATACAGCAGCGTCTTCGGCAGGAGCTGGCAGCGGCGCTGCTTGGCGGCGTCTCTGGCGAACTGGACTATGATACGCTCAGCGGCTTGCCCTATTTGCGGCAGGTGGTGGATGAGGTGTTGCGTTTATATCCGCCCACAGCATTTCTGGATCGTTGCTGTAACGCCAAGGCGGGTTATGATTTGTCCGCTTGGAGTAGAGGCAAACCGCTGCGCTTGCCGCCAGGCACGCCCGTCTACATCTCTGTGCTGGGACTGCATCGCGATGAGCAGGTGAGAAGTCAACAGTTGAATATACATAGACATTGTTTAATGCGATTGCTTGGTAGTATTGGCCGCAACCGCTGAAATTTGATCCAGAACGTTTCGCGCCGGAGCAGCGAGCGCAGCATCAGCCCATGACGTATTTGCCCTTCGGCGCTGGTCCGCGTGGCTGTCTGGGCACCTTGCTTGGCCTGTTGGAGATCAAGGTGGGTTTAGTTAGGTTTCATTTCATATTGACATAAACTTACATCATTTTTTTTATCAACAGGTGGGTTTGTTTTATATACTGAAGAACTATCGCGTGGAGAGTTGTCCGCGAACGCTGCCGGAAATGAAGTTTGATGCGAAATCCTTTGTCCTGACAGCTGCGGGCGGCACCTACTTACGCTTCATCCACGAACCGCTATGAAATAGGGGAGCTGAACAGTAAATTGACATTTACATACATTTTTGTATAGTTTTTATTTTTGAATTTTCACTTTATTAGGGTAATTGTTTTTCACAAATTTTTATTTAATGTATTTTTTTTCTTTTTTTTTTTTTAAGTTTTTCTTGTTTGTTTTTAGCCTAAGATCAGCTCAAAAATGTTCACAAAATTTGTCAGTTGGGCTAACCAAATATTGCTGGCCATAATAAATATGGCTAATCTACCACTTGGACTATAGACTGCATTTATTGGCGGGCTTATCAGTATTCGTAATTAAAATCTTAAAT